CAACTTTTGGGAAAGCAAGGCTATGTGAGATTCAATGGAAAAGTCAGCTAAACTCATATCATTGTGGGAAGTTCTACTACCAGTCCTTCATCACCTTACACGAAATAGGGTGAATACATCTCATTATTCTTAACTTGTGCCTACAACACGAGAACTTAGAGGTACCTTAATTGAGTTGGTTTTAGAAACTACCATTAGATCTGGAATAGAAGCTCCATTCACTCTATGCCGCGTAATGTGATTACGGACTGATATTTTAATTTTCCCACAATCATATGATAAGGCTTCTTAAAAGCTCTGCCTATCCACCACATCACTCGGGCTCGAGTCCCGCTGTAGGTAGTGATGAGTCCCAAGCGAGGTCGAGTCCAGCCTGGATGGGAATATCTTGAGGGTAAGTGAAATTCAATGTAAAAATGAGGCCTAATTATATAAATGTGAGTAAAATAAACTATCAGTACTTTACTATCACATATTCTTTAGAATGAATACACCTCTTAGTTAAGAACTTAGTCAAATTAGATTGCTTAAAAGTTGTTTGACCTTATTTTCGAAACATGGTCATATTGGTAGGAAGACTTAGAGGAACTCACCTTGTCCGCAGTTCATTGTATGCATCATCATTTCCAGAGTAGAACCATGGACGTGGTACATTCCCAGACGTTTCGCCGTTATCGTAGTCGGCATCGTCAGTGAGTGTTGCCATTCGTAGCACCATACAGCAACTCGTCAAAGAGACAAATGAAACCCACCCTTTAACCAAACGTGTGCTAAACAGTTGTGGTTGTGAGTCGCGAAAACAAGGTCCAACAACTTCTATACAGCGAAAGGAGACTGCGATCACACAAAAGGCCACATTATCTTAGTCTTCATACCTAGATTGCTCAAGTTTATTTAAGGACCATTAGCTTGGTATTCCCACAACCACGTGAGTTGACGTCATGATACCAGAAAATGTCACTTAGCTCTGCCTCCCAAAAGGCTATTTTATCCAGGCTGGACCAGACCGGACTGGACGGCAGTTTCGACGTCTATTGAACTGGCCTCATCATCATCCCCAACAGCGTTTGATACCGGATCGTGAGTATCTTGGCGAATTTACGTCTTCACAAGACAGCTAAGGGTGCCAATCAGTAACGGGACAGATGTGACATCCAAAGCAAGCCAGGCCTTCCCCATCTTACATTTGCAGTTTGAACTTGAGTCTTATTCGAAACACAAATATACAGAGAAAAATGCATCTAGAATGTGCTTAGTCTCAAATGAGCCGTCACGAGATGGAATAAGTTTTATATAGCATCTGGGTATTCATTCAATTTAGTTCAAAGTGATGAAATACTGGTAATTGAATTTTCATACAATCAAATGAGTAGGCCACACATTTCCAACAATTTTTACATAGCTTTGCTTTCCAAAAAGGTATTCTTATTCAAGAGGGACTACGGTTTTGACCTCTTCCCGATCTCAGTAGAACCCCCAGCGGGACACGAACCTTGGTAGTTCAGCGTGTAGTCTCGATACGTTGACTGCTGAGCAACAAATTTTATATAATATCTACTAGCAATCTCGAAAATCTACTTATAAACGGAAAACAAATAATGTAATCGACACTCACAGGACAGAATTGTGATATGACGAATGCCTAGACTTCCTTGAAATTCATTTCTGCCCTGTGACACAGGGAACTTGTGGCAACATGGTGTAGTGGTTATTGTGTCAAGATTTTACAATTTACTACAACAACCTGGTTCGAGTCCCACTGGGGGTGCTGATAAGGTCATTTCAGGCAAGGTCGAAACTGTCCTGTCCGGTTGAGAATATCTTTTGGAAATCAGGGTTAAGTGAAAATCTGTGAAAGCATGTGGCCTACTCATATGATTGCGTGAAAATTTAACTACCAGTCCTAAATACCCTTAAAATAAATCGACTGGATACTGCTCTTATAACTACTGGTAGTTTTCTTACCTACTGGTAATCTTGAAAACCTACTTATAAAACGTAAAATATTAGATAAGTCTGTGGAAAACAAGCCTCCATTTTTAAGATAAACACTCTTCCGACTCCTGCTGAGGCAGGTCGCTAGGACTCTTAAGCAAAAAATAGAAGTTAGTCAAGTTTTTTAAGTTCTTCTTTTTACGACAGTAAAGTTCGACCATTTCAAGGTTTTTGTCGGTTA